AACACTCAATGCGGAATAATAAACAAATAAATTTAAATAAACAACAGAAAATCAAAATTAGTGAAACGGAGCATCCTCTGAACCCTCATGAAACAAGGAAATAAAGACAACCCAATAATCAAAATAACCTGAAAATCACAACACTCGCATAAAGTAAAGCATACCCATAGGCAAAATTATCGAACTGGAGGCAGACGAGACGATGAATGGAAAAGGCAGTAAAAAAAAAGAAAGAAATCAAAGCAGCACGCCCAGAAATTATTTTCAATCAAAATAGTTGATTACGAACCTTGCAAGCTGAGAGATGTAATAAGATGATGATATTGCAGTGTGAACGAGAGTTTGGAAGATTTCGAATAGAATTCCAGCAGGAATGCCCAGTACTATAAATAGAAGTGAACAAAAGCAAGCTCAAGCGTCCTCCTTGTAAAATTCTAATGCTATTTAGTTTTCCATATTTATCTAATTTATCAGGCTTCCTATTTTTATGGAAAACAAATTAGTGAGGACTGACACACTTTATGCAGTTGTTGGACTTTATTGTTTTTCTTTTTTCTTTGGAAGAGTGTAAAATCTATATCTATGCTCCCTTCATAAAATCTATATCTAATCTATGCTCCCTTCAAATTTAGGAAAATTCTACAGTGCGTCGTGCGCATCAATGCGCTACCATTATAGACCAAGTTTAAGGTTATTATCAAAATGGGACTTGGGACCTCAATTTTATCAATATGAAACCCAACATTTTTAAATCTAACCAAATTACGCACTCCGTCAACATATTTAATCTTAAAACTTTTTTCTTTGGACAAGCGACATTAGAAAAAGAGATTCGAAGAGAGAACATGGAGCGCAAGGAGATTAACCTTAGTCACATTTTACACACGTGGTATTTCCATGCAATTATAATAAACTTTTTTGGACAAACTTGATTGCCGGAAAGAAAACAACTTCTGAGACGACTAAACAAGAGATCTTAAGGGAATATTACCTCAAGAAAGTAAGATCACAGGCACATATGGGTCCACAGTACAGACAGACTGCACAGGCTCTTCTCAATCATTTTTTTAGAATCCTTCTGTGGAGACAAGCGCATAGGTAAACAAATATTCTTCGCTTTTTTTGTTTTGTTTCAATCCACTGTGGCGATGTGGTCGTTCCTTTTCACTTTTTATTTTATTTAAGCGATAATACTAAGAGCATCCACAGTTGGGGGGTGTATGTTAAATATACACCCCGAGTCATCGGAATCGTCTCCAATGGTGAGATGTAAATGTATGTAAATATACATCACTACCATGGGGATGTAAAATAAAATGTATATTTACATTCATTTTTACATCCCTTGCAGGCGGGACCCACCCAAGAAAAGATAACAAAAATGAAGAAAAGTCAACATAAAAAGCTGGGACCCACGGCTACACCCCCGAATTTACACCCTTACTGGAGCAAAAAATATATTTACACCCCCCGAAGGTGTAAAGAGGATGTAAAAGTGGCTTTACACTCCCGAATTTACACCCCCAACTGTGGATGCTCTAATAGTATTGTTTATGTTCTTTTGGTCTCTTTTTTTCATCCATCAATTTGATAACTTGTGTGCTTGTCTACTTCATACATGGGCCAAATGAGTATCAAACTGGTGGACTCCATGATTCATCACGTCATCATGTCTTAGGTCTTTTTTGGTCGAAAGTCATGTCCATCACCATATAATGTCCTTTAAACCTTTGGATCAGTCTCCTCCATATCTCCACGAAGCCCATACAGAAAATGATAGTCTTGTTCCATCTAAGTCTAACCATTCCTTCACCAAGCGAGACACCAATGACGAGGGGTTATAATGGAGAGGTATATCAATTGTAGAGCTATTGTTAGAACCCCTCAACATAACCCTCTCATTGTATAACTACCAAAAAATTGGAAGACACTAGTGAGGGTGGGTCTCGGATTAGAAATAGTAACTTACACTTTTTTCTCAATAAAATGAAATATGATATTGTCATACAATACAAGTAATGACACCTTTGTGTTTCACTGGTGAAAAATCCCTCAACCCCTTAGAGCATCTCCAGGAGAGTCTCCAAATTTTAGCCAAATTCTAGCTAAAATAGCTAGAAAGCTATTATAGCAAACAACTTAAAAGGTGTTTACTCCAGCAATGTTATCTATTTTAGCTAATCTAAAATATTTTATTATTATTTTCTCTTTCTCTTTCTCTTACAAATCAAATATATTTATAAAAAAAGTAGAAACCCAACCCCACCAACCTCCCAAATGTCTCTATCTCTCTTTCCCTTTTTCTCTCTCCTCCTAGCCAAATTCTCTCTCCTCCTCTCTACATGTAGAGAGCCCAAAGTTGGTTCTTCAAAATAGAGAGCCAAGTAGGGAGTCTGCTGGAGGAGGATTTTCCTTCTTTTTAGCCAAAATAGTTAGGGATGAGAGGATAAAGAGTCTGTTGGAGATGCTAAGTCCTTAAATAGTTTAGATCTTCTCCACAAAACCTTTTAAGTGACATTGGCCATTTAAAATATTGGTGTCCTATTGATGAAAAAACCCTAATGATGAAGTTGATTGCCAAAAGTTCTCAATGCTCCTTAAATAGTTTTGAGACATGCTAATGTAAGTCATATGTGGCGTACATGACAATTCTCATATGTCATATTCTGCTCACACTTAGGGATCGTAACGGGTCGAGTAGGGGCTGGGTATGACAATACCATCCCCGTTCCCGCTCTCTATCCCCGCCCTCGTCCCCTAACCCATCCCCGTTTAATAGGTTTCAGGGAATCCCCGTCCCCATCCCCTTCGGGGGACTATCCCCCATACTCGCTCCTAATCCCCGATTATTTTTTGCATAAAAAATATTTATCGTACATTTTAACATTAAGTTTCATATTAAATTACCATTCAACACATCCAAATTAACTATAAAGTTTAACTCAACTATTCAATCACATCAATATAAAATTCCAAAGAAGATTAGGAAGAATTAGGAGAGGGAGGTTAACTTAGGGTTAAACATAAATATTAAAATTATATATATATATATATTTATTTAAATATAAACATATATATTTTCGGGTTGGGTTTGGGGATGGGGACGCCAATACCATCCCCTCCCCATACCCATCGGGGATTTTTCAAGTTCAGGGATCCCCGTATCTGATACTCGTTTGGCCCTGAAATCTTCCCCCGTTAGGGTCGGGGATCCGAATTATTTTGATGTTGAGGTGGCACCTCATAATTCGACATTTAAAAAAAAAATAAAAAAAAATAAAAAAAACTGTTCATTGATTAGCCGTACGGAATTCCATCCCCTAAACAAAACCCCCTTATCCTCTCCTCCCCAAACTTTCTCTAACAACCACTTGGCGCCATTTCTACAGAAGGACACTGAAAGAAAGATCGAAAGGAAGCTGAGCAAACGACCATGCTCCGCGCACCACCTGATTCCCTCTTTCCGCTTCGTCACATTCACAAACCCAACTCACTACTCAGAACTCGGACGACTCGGTTTTGTTGCAAAGCAAGTCTTATCACAAACTCTGACTCGTTCGAGGTGGGTCGACTCATTGGGAGCTATGGCTTCATGAACATCACCAGGTATCCTTTTGTCAACGCTGCTTAACTTTCTGTTTGCTTTATAGGAAAATGAAAGGAAAAAAAATAAGAAGAAAAGTTTTCTATATAGAGCTGCAGTTGTATGTCCTTCCTAATAAATAGGGAAGCTTTTATGAGATTTTTTTGGAGTCATAATGTCCTATGAATTTGTCTCTGTTTTGGGTTTTTGTTTTTCTGATTAAACAATTGGAACGAAGGTTACGTTGTTGATTGGGCAGTTATCAGTATTCTTGTTAATTAGAGTTAAATTTTATTTGATAGTTGTTGAACTTGCTTTCTGTGTTTGGTGGCCGAGAAATTGGAGGAAAAAAAAAGTGCTGTATGTTCTTATTAATTTAGATAATCACCCTCTGCTTGATTCATTGGTTTATACTTTATTAATACATTATGCTTTCTTTTATTTGATCTTATTTTTTCTCCTTTTCTCTGTCTGAAACAGCTCTTCCGGGTCTCCATTGGGCGAAGATACTGAATACTCATCGGGTGATTTGGGGCGGTTGAGAGTTCAAGATGTAGGAGAAGGCAGTGTAAAGATCAGGTACATTCTAAAGGATATATGTATGGTATGCTTAGGCACACAATGGCTGGTCCTATCAGTTTGAGGAAATTAACTCAAAGGAAATCTATATTGTGAACAAGATATCTCTAAATTGTTATCCTTCTGATGCTAATAGTACTCATGGCAGTTCTTTTGCAGGCTATATGATGGGAGAGTCTCTCAGGGTCCGCTGAAAGGGACTCCGGTTGTTTTTAAGGTAATATTGTTGTCAATGCCATCCTTTTTAGTTCGATTCACTTTTATGGGCTCATAATTTCTATTGAACAGTAACATTTTTAAGCATGAAGGTTTATCCTGGACAACGAGCTGGTGGGAATGAGGCGGATATGATGGCTGCTAATGAGCTAAATGCTCACCTATTCCTTCAAGTAATACAAGATGTTACTTAAATTACCTATAAATGATTGCATATGCATGCAACGTTTCCCAATTACTTACAATCAATATCAATACCAAAAGCGTTTCCTTTTCCTGTTTTTTAGTGGTCCTTTTGTTTTATGTTTTTCAGAACAGTTCAAATGGCATCTGTCAGAATCTTGCAATACTCGTAGGTGGGTTTGAAACGAAAACTGGAGAGCAGGTTTGTTATGTGAAATTATTTCTCAAGACTTTGCTTATACAAAGTGTTTATTAATTCTTTTGGTAGCGACAATGAATGAATGAAGAAATTTATCATGTGCAGTGGCTTGCTTTTCGTAATCATGGGAAATCTAGTGCCGCAGATTATGCTAAAGTTATGAGTGAAAAAGTGTCAAGAAACCGTGCAGCGGGAGTTTGGAATAAATTTGAGCAAGAGGAAACAATCAAACGCAGAAGATATTTTGTTACCAAGCTGCTTCAGGGTATTATGAGAGGTCTGGCTTACATGCATGATCATGACAGGTTGCACCAGAGTCTTGGACCAGCTTCTGTTATTCTGAAGTATGTTGCTTAGAGATATCTAATTTTGTTCAAGACAGTGCTTCATCTAAATAATTAGTTTATGAATTTTCTCTCTGCTATAATCTGCTCAAACTTTTCAATTGCTGGCAGCACAATTACAGAGAGAGATGCTGCTTACTTGGTCCCACGACTTCGGGATCTAGCCTTTTCTGTTGACATTGGGTATGCTAACTGTCATATAATATATTTGCTTTTGTGATATTTTTTGTATGTGTAATCTATGCGTAATCAAAATTTTGGTGCTTTGGCCAAAATTTCAATCCTTGGCCAAGTGATTCTTTGAATATTTTAATTGTTGAGGTCCTGTCTTTTAATCTACCAATGGACAAAGGAGGAGGTAACAAAGGAGCATGCAGAAGGAAATGTCGTTGTTGAGTCTCTTCAATTTATCAAAAGGAAAATAGTAATTTTTAAAGGTTAATTAATAATATTTTTAAAGTAAGGATATAAACGTGGAGTCTTTTTTTTTTT